GAAACCTCTTCTGTTGTGATCTAAAGATAAGTCGAGACTTGTTAATGATTTTAAAATTTCTCCAGGCACTCCGATCAAGCTCAATGAGACCAATTTTGACTTTAGCGCTTTCTCGTCACCCTCCATCCCTCTTGAGCTCATGGTTTCTCCGCTCACGTCGTCTAACAAGAAATCCAGGTAAAGAAGAAACATTTGATCCTAGATTAGGTTATCATTATTCATTATTATTACATTATTATTATTGATTCGACGCAATCTTTTAAACTTTTTAAACTATTATTTACTAGCTTGGGACCATGCTTAGCCTGGAAACTAAACTTGTTCTATTAAAGTCAATCATTTCAACTTCGAATTTTTATACCAGGCTATAACAATTTATGTGGTTCTCCCTATTTCTCCAAATCCAATCCAGGGGGCGGTTCATGAACAATGATCGGACATTAAAACAATCAGACAAAAAAAACCATTTTTACTGTATCTATATTTATTTTCTTTTAGAAGATCCAGTGGAATCAGTCGACTGACTGAGGGGAACCAAACTCCTAAGGCAGATTACACCAACGTTGTTGGAGTCAGGAACTTGATGGCCACACCTAAGATTCACAAATCACCCAAAGCTGATTACACAAACGTCAAAGGTCTGAAAAAGATCATGGCCACACCCAGGGTTCGTAAGTCCCCAAAAGCTGATTACACGAACGTGAAGGGTATAAAGAAAATGATGGCCACCCCCAAAGTTCAAAAATCACCAAAAGCTGATTACACAAATGTGAAAGGAGTAAAGAAAATGATGGCCACCCCTAAAGTTCAAAAATCACCAAAAGCTGATTACACGAATGTGAAAGGACTAAAGAAAATGATGGCCACCCCTAAAGTTCAAAAATCACCGAAAGCTGATTACACAAATGTAAAAGGAGTCAAGAAAATGATGGCAACTCCCAAAGTACAAAATTCTCCTATCGCAAATTATACTGATGTTCGCGGTGTGAAGAAAATGATGGCGACACCTAAGACCCAACGAACCCCCTTGGCAGATTACACCAATGTTACTGGTATGAAGAAGCTGTTGTCCACTCCGACTCCTTTCAATTCTCCCTTAGCGAATTATGCTGATGTATCTGGTATGCAAGATCTCCTCTCCACGCCTCAAACTAATCTATCCCCTAAGGTCTCTGCATCTAGTATTAAAAGAAAAGCTGAAACTTTTGAGAACTCTTCCAGTAAGAGAAGTAGGGTTGAAATTACTACAGAGATTACTGGAGCTGTTAGAGATACACTGAGCACAAGCATGGGTTCAGCCAGAGGTCAGGGTGGGAGAGGGAGAATAGGTTCCAGTAGTAGAAGTCCATCTAAAACTTCAAGAGGATCTAGTGATACTAAGGATATTGAGATCCCTAAGTTTAATCTTGAAGACCCTGTCTCCTCCACAGTACAGGATCTTCCTGCTCCCGAGGAAGCCAAGTCTGCAAGGGGTCGCGGTAGAGCAGCCGGAAATATCATCAATGAGGAAACTATTGAGATTGTAGCCCCAAGACGTGGTTCAGGAAATGTTGATGCTAAACTGAAGAAAGGACGAACATTTACAGCAACTATTGAGACTCCTCAATCTACGCCTATTGAAGAGCCTTTAGCCAACGACGGAAGTCCAGCGTTGAAGATGAAAACTGCTTCTCTGAAGAGAGGACAGCAATCTAAAATCTTACCTAAACCTGAGGTGGAATCTGAAGAAGCTACAGCTGCATCACCAGTCAAGGGTAGGAGAGGAATAGGAGCAAAAACAACGCAACAAACTGCTCCTGAACTTACTCCCGTTAAGGGAAGAAGAGGAAGAGCTGCTAAAGCTGAAGTTACTCTGGAGGCAGCTGCTGAACCTTCTCCTGTCAAGGGAAGAAGAGGCAGAGCAGCTAAAGCTGAAGTTACTGTTGAAGCCGCTCCTGAATCTACTCCTGTGAAAGCTAGAAAGGGTGGTAGAGCAGCTAAAGCTGAAGTTACTGTTGAAACCGCTCCAGAACCTATTCCTGTGAAGGCAAGAAAAGGTAGAGCAGCTAAAGCTGACGTTACTATTGAAGCTGCTTCTGAACCTACCCCTGTGAAGGCAAGAAAAGGTAGAGCAGCTAAAGCTGAAGTTTCTGTTGAAGCCGCTCCTGAACCTACTCCTGTGAAGGCAAGAAAAGGTAGAGCTGCTAAAGCTGAAGTTACTGTTGAAGCCGCTCCTGAACCTACTCCTGTGAAAGCTAAAAAAGGTAGAGCAGCTAAAGCTGACGTTCCGGTAAAGGCCGCCTCTGAATCTACCCCTGTAAAGGCAAGAAGAGGTAGAGTAGCTAAAGCTGAAGTTACGGTTGAAGCTGCTCCTGAGCCTACTCCTGTAAAGGCAGAAAGTTCTGCTGAGGCTGGAGTGACTCTTGAAATGTCTGCTGAACCAGCTCCTACTAAGGGACGACGAGGGAGAGCTCTGAAACCTGAGGCTAATCTTGACGTTGAGGCTGAACCTACCCCTGTCAAGGGAAGAAGGGGTAGAAACATGAATTCATCTGCAGACTATGCGAAACCAACTCCTAAAGGAAAGAAGAAGGTTTATGATGTAACTGAGTCTACTCCTATCGTCAAGTCTAAGAAGGGTAGAACTGATAAGCCCGATATATCTGTGGTGGAACCTACAATAAGAACACCAGTATCTTCTGCCAAGTAAGACATAAAACCAACATAATACCAAGTCCTATATTTTCAATTTTCAACTTTCGAAATGAAAAAAAAAATTGAAAATGAAAGGGCCGTTTCTTTTTAAATACTTTTAATCCAAAACCAGTCAGGAAAACAACACATAACATGGGGGGATCTTTTTTCTTCAACATTTCTGAACAAATTTTATTTTTAAAACTTATTTACTTGTTAAAACCCTTTTAACATGATTGAATTTGTAGGAAAGGTCGAGCTGCTAGTAAAGCTGCTACTGCTAAGATTGCGAACAATGTTGCTGAATTAGCAAACTTAAACAAGAAGAAGAGAAGACCTAGTACACCTAAACCTCTAGAGACAAGGTAATCATATCTACGATCTTGTTTATAAGAGATGAATTAACCAAAAATAACATTAACATTACAAATTGTTTGTTTTATTACCTGTATTTTTAATTTGCTAGTTGTTTTTGATAACCTAATGTTCCAAATTTGAAGGAAAATGAATGGGAAAGACGGAATGGAAACTTGGTAGTTCAGTCCCATAATTAACTTTCCCGTAACTGTAAAATTGTATAAATTTTCCAAGAGTAATGAATGAGTTCAGGCCCGTAGCTTGGATTATCCTAGGGAGGGGGAAGGGAATGCAAAGAAATTTAAAGGGGGGGCAAACCCCCTGCATAGAGTTTTTTTGTAGTTTTAGAGCAAAATTTAAGGAATTGAATTTTTGATAAATACTGGAACATGTGTCTTACATTGGATGTATGTATATCGACAAAAGCGAAAGAACAACAAACCAGTTCAAAAAATCTTACCTCAGGACAAATATTTTTTTAATAAGGTTTAATTTAGTTGGGCTGAGGGAACAGCTTTAGTAAAGAATTGTTTCGGACGCTGAATACACTGTACATAATGATAACAATTTTTGAAAACTTTGAATGCTAATATCTCAATTTTGCAAGAGAAGTCTATACCAAGCAACTTAAAAGGGGGAATGCAAATTCATCGTTGTACCCCNCCCCTGGCTACGGGCCTGGAAGTAATGGTCCGATCTATGAACTAATTGAATTTATTCTCTGTTGTTTAGTGAGACTAGTTCACGTGGAACTAAGCGAAAAGCTGCCTCCTCCTCTGTAGCAGGTTCATCCCCACCCAAGCGAGCGACTAGGGCCAGGAGATAAATATATTTATATATATAATTACCGTATCGTCATAGTTTCTCTTTTAGTCTGTAAATGTTAAAAATTTATCGGTGTGCTTTTCATCGAACTTTTTAATTCTACAGAAATATATTTTGTTTTATCTTTGGAAACTTGGAAACCATGTTTCTTGTTCTAATATTTTTTTAGAAATGTCATAAAATATAAACAAAAAATTAAATCCTAGTATTATGTTATAATTCGTTTAATATGTTATTTTTTTGGACAACTTGACTGTAAAATAGTTTTGTGTAATTTACTAAATAAAATGTACATTGTTTTTATCTGCAATTCTCATTCGTTTATAGTGGGCTAACCAATTAAAACAACCTACTCTGGTTAGGCGGGTCCGAACTACATAGTAAATTGTGATTTTTTTATTTGTATTATCTCGTGCTTTGTAGTTGCAGGGTGGCCAAAATGTACGGATTGTACGGATTTTTTAAAAAAAAATTGTACGGATTGTTTTTCGAAAATTGTACGGATTTCTTCTGAAAATGTACGGATTTTTGAACGGATGGGTTCAAAAAAGTTTTGGCCACCCTGTTATAGTTGAATAAAAATATGAAATATGAAATGAAAATACTTGGTTTTCTTCTAAACATGAACTGATAGATCAATTAGTTTTGTCTCACTCGCTACGCATTAAAACTGCGTTAATACAATTTTGGATTCCCCAATTCAACCATTAGGCCACATAATTTTTATTAGTCCATAATACCATTTTAGTCAATAAATAAAAAGTTTTTAATCTTCGAAATTTTCAAATCATCAAATTTAGTTTACTATGCTTTCAGGGCGCTTTGTGCCATTCTTTTATTTAAATACCATTTCCTGGGGTCATGTCAGTTGCAAAAAAATTGGGCCCGTTCGGTTCAGCCGTTTATTGGATTCAAATAAGCAAGCAAGTTAAGTATTCTGGAGGCATCCAATACGGTTTCGGTCTTAATTTCTAGAAGCTCAGCTCACATCTTTATTCAAATGTTAGGTATTATCCAGGGGGCGGAAACGTCATGTGTGTGTGTCTGTACCGAAAGAGTGTGTGTCAGTTTAAAGTACCGAAGGTGTGTACTGTAGGTTTATACAGTACGTAAGAATCTCGGTATTTGTATAGTCTAGGAGAGTACATTTGTTTATTGTTAATTGTTTAATTAAAAATAAGTTTAATATGCATGTAATATATTATTTACATATTTAAGTCAACACTATAAAGCCAAATTTTTATGCAAAGAATATAATTTGATTAAAGTTTACAATAAACTACTCGTTATTCAAGTTTAATTATAATTGACGACATTGTTCTACAATTTCCTTGACTGTAGTCATGTTGTGTGTCTGTACCAGCAGAGTGTTTGTAAGGTTACTGTACTGGTCTTCAAAGCAGTGCGACTGGCTTTCTCTTGCCGGACCAGCGCCATTTCCTTTCCCTATATTCCTGTTCCCTGGTAGTATTACGTGGACAGTTGATACGAAAAATCTCATAAGTTGTTAGATGTTTGCGTGGGTTTTCTTAAACACAATAATATTCTCAAATGAGTATTCCCAATTTACAAAACCGAAAGAATTTAAGCTCGGAAAACTGCCATGTTTTGATTTGTAGTTATAAACCTCGGACAGTGAGACTCAACCCGTTCAAGACATAAAGTTTATGTGCGCAGAGATGAAATTAATTCTGCGCTAAAGAAAGGGTCAACCTGAGTTCAAAATGCAAAAAAATCCTAAAAAGATTTCCATTAAAGATTAGGAGAAATTGAGATCTCCGTCCGGATACTTGAAATATGATCGCTAAGCTTTCAATATTTTAGATTTTAAGATAAAATACAAATAATTTATATTTTTGGGAACAAATTAAAGATATTTTTCTTTCCTAGTGCAGAATTGTTAATAATAATATTTAAGTGTCTGATGTTATTGAACAGAGTATTCTTTACATATCCAGATATCCATTATGATGTATCCTGCCCAACCTTCCAGAGACTGATGTTATTGAACAGAGTATTTACATATCCAGATATCCATGATGATGTATCCTGCCCAACCTTCCAGAGACTGATGGAACTTGTATAAACCTTGATGAGTTGACTTTAGATCCGTAGTTTAAATGAAAAACTACAATAAGGCTAGTTCAGAGAACACCATAACCAAGGCACATCAACCAAGAAACCCAAAGATGGATTGGTTATCACCTGAACTATGTATTTTTAGAGTTGATCCCTTGGACTATTGAGTTTATTATCTAAACCTTGGAGTTTATCGCTAAAACAAAAAAGCTTTCATCTAAACCTTAGGAATTTATCATCTGAACTACTGAGTGTTTCATCAAAACCATGAAGTTATACATCTTAAACATTTGGACCAACGCCTGAACCTTTAAGTTTCACATTCTAATAATGTAATTTATTTAAAGCTAGAAGTTTATCTCCTGAATCATTAAGTTTTTCATTTTTATCACTTCAACCTTGGAGTTTTCCAGATAAACCTTGGATCTTAGAGTTCGTCATCTGAACCAATTCATATTTTATTTAAATCATGAAGATTAAACCATAGAGTTTTCCTTTCAACCATGAAGTTTTTTCTTTAAACCATGGATTTTTTTATTTCAAACATGGAGTTTTTTATTTAAACCACGGAGTTTTTATTTAAAACATGGAGTTTTTATAAAAAACCTGCATTTTTTATTAAAAACCTGGAGTTTTTAACTTAAAACATAAGAGTTTTTATTTAAAACATGGAGTTTTTATTAAAAACATGGAGTTTTTATTTAAAACATGGAGTTTTTATTAAAAACCTGCATTTCTTATTAAAAACATGGAGTTTTTAACTTAAAACATAGTTTTTTTATTTAAAACATGCAGTTTTTCCTTTAAACCATAGAGTTTTTATTTCAAGCATGAAGTTTTTTATTTAAAACATGCAGTTTTTCCTTTAAACCATAGAGTTTTTATTTCAAGCATGAAGTTTTTCCTTTAAACTATGGATATTTGTATTTCAAACATGGAGTTTTTATTTAAAAACATGGAGTTTTTTAATTAAAACATCGAGTTTTTTATTTAAAAGATACAGTTTTTATTAAAACCTAAAGTTTCTAAAATGTGTGAAAATTAGAACTATGAACCTGTACCAGAGCTAAACCTGTCCTGGAAGTAAACCTAGAAGCCAGAGCTAAGTGTTAAACCTTACCTGGAGTTTAACCTGATATGTATAAATACCCGATATAAAGCTTCTCCAGAGTAGAACCTGAACCTGTACCTGGAGTAAACCTGAACCTATCCCTGGGGTTAAACTTTTACATTCACCTGGAGCTGAATAGGTTTAACTTAATTTTGAGATCTAAACCACAATCATATCTTTAAAAGAATTAGTTCTCTAAGAAATTTTCAAGGTGAAAGATATTCTAGAGTTTAGAAAGATAATCCTGATATCTTAAAGCTATACAAAACCTCGGGAAGATAATTTTACAAGAATAAAACAGGATCCAAGAAGTGCATTTAGAACACCTCTTAGATCGTTTCAGAGTAAGTTTTAGATACAGGGTGTCCCACGAAACATGACAGTATGCAGGACGACTTGAATGTCGTCTTGATTTTTGATATAATTTGCTGCGTTTATGTTGTCAACCTAATTTTAGAAGTAAATTTCTAGATATAATAATCACAAAATTTCCCTTGTCCTGCCATTTCTAAATGTGGTCTGCCTTTTTTGTGCTTTCAATATTGCCCGAGGTATGAAGAATTTCGTTCAGATTTCGACAATTTTGCTTTTATTTTACAAAATTGAAATCTGAACCAAACTCTTTATATCTCCGGTAATATTGAAAGCACAAAAAACGCAGACCACTTTTTGGAAATGCCAGGGCTAGGAGAATTATGTGATAATTGTTTCAAGAATCATACATGTTAAAGTAGATAGAAGACTAAATGTCACAAATAAATTCAAATACCAAAGACGACTTTCAAGTCTTCTTCCTATTGTCATGTTTCGTGGGACACCCTGTATATAGAAGTTTGGAACAAAGTAATTGAGTTTTTGCCACAAACTCTGATTTTCTATTATCTAACTTTGTAACCCATTTTCCTAGACCTTAGATATTTCAAACTATTAATTCTGAGTTCAAATTGTCTGAGTTTGAAATCAAGGTTTTTACCATCAGGTTGCAGGGATATAGGGGTTAGAAAATGCGAGTTTGAGGCAAAAACTCAATTCCTTTCTATTTATTTTAAACAAAAACTAATTTTTACATTTTTAGTTTTTCACCGTGTTGAGAGATGAAAATAAACTCTAAACCTACAACAAGACCCCTAGACCTTCCTCAGATGCTTAAAAATTAACAAAATTTCTGGGATTGTACATATCTCTTAGAGCTGATCCCAATACCTACCAGAGCTTCTTCCATAACAGGATCCAGATTGAACCACAAAAAAATTTCAAACATATTAATGAAAAAAACAGACATGGCATTTTTCAAATCATTTAACTATTGCTCTTGTTTGAGGTTTCGACTTTATCATTTTTACCATTGTCATGGGTGATATTTTTGTCACGATTGAAGATTTAATTTTTAACTTTTTTAGATTTTTATATCCAAGTTGTTTGAATTCTTATTGTTAAAAATTGCATTTAAAATTACCAACAACTATAACAGAAAGTTGTAGTTGAATCCAAAACATCGATACAGAAATTGTATCACCATGACTTCTTTTAACCTAATATTTTTTATGTTTATTTTTGACGATTTAAAAATGTATTACGTTGAAGAGAGGGCATACATTGTACTTCAATGCATTAGTTTTATGTATAATAAACAAAAATATTAAAGGGAGTGACCGGCTATGTAAGGTAGTTGAACTGAGTATGAAGTGTTGTGGAAAGCTTCTTTCGGATTCATTTGAGACATATTAAACTTTTTAAAGATCGGTAAGTCCTGAGTTTTAGCGCAAATTCGACGTTCAAAACTCCTACTTTGGGGGTGGATACGTTTTCAGAATTAGTTTTTTTAAATTATCAAATAACGACAACGAAAAATAAAGTAAAAATTATACAGTATTCTAATTAGATGGTTAGGAACATATTTCTCAAAAGAAATTTGTCAATAAATCAACGCTCAAATCGATTATTTCGTTTTCATTATTATATTGAATTTCTAATTTTCTTTGAATTTGTTCGCAGATTTCTTCAAATATCGTCTTTCAATAATAATTCTAGAAAATCTGCGAAAATCTTTGTGAATAATGAGAAACTAGAAACTAATAATTGAACAAGATTACTTATTTTCGATGATAAGATTAATTTTTATTTTATCAACATGTTCCTATACATGACGTCTGTAGTTTATTGTAGAACTTTTTTACGTTTTATATCGACGTTATTTAATAATTTAAAAAAAACTATCTAATTCTAAATTTTTCAGCTCTGTCCGAACATTAGCGGATTCCAACAGATTTATTTTCATAATGTGTGTTCATGTTTTAATGCTAAAAGGGACTGTAAACGTAATTTCAAGTGACCCTTTGTTCAAACATGGCAATGCCCGATTCACTTCAGTACTCTTAAAAGCTTTGTCTGATCAGGTATGAAATATAGATATCCATGTTAATTTTGAAAACTGATTATTTTCAATTGTGGTTTTCTACAAAAGTGACTTGCGCATTTCTACTACAGAAAAACAAACAATATCTTCCAGATCAGATAAAGGTTAATTTGAAACGTGTACCGTTGTGAATAGTGCATTTCCATATTTGCACATGAAGGATCACATGATATTAATTTTATTTCCTTCTTAAAGGAACTGTAAACGTAATCTTACATATCGAGGTCCTTAAAACTTATGGATGAAGAATGACTGTAATATCTTTATTTTTCAAGCTAAAAATTATTTTTATATTTTGTTTCTTTGTAAAAGGGACTGCAGAGAAAATACCAAGAAATCAAAATGAAAAAATAAGACTTAACAAATTGACGATGGTAACTTAAATAAAGCGCCGCGTTGTAATCTGAAATGCATTTTTTTAAATTAATAGTCGCTTCAAATTACGCCCACAGTCCTTTAAATGCTTCATGATCTTTTTTTGCATAAATGAAATCTAATACTTAATAAGAAAAAGGGTGTTTGGCCAACCTGAACTGAAAAGTATTATGAACCCGGCCTTAAAGGGAGTGACCGGCAATGTATTGTAGTTAAACTGAGAATATAGTATTGGGGAAAATGTTTTAAGGAATAATTCGAGACATATAAAACATTTCTACGATGTATACTAACTGAAGGAATAATTCGAGACATATAAAACATTTCTACGATGTATACTAACTGAAGGAATAATTCGAGACATATAAAACATTTCTACGATGTATACTAACTGAAGGAATAATTCGAGACATATAAAACATTTCTACGATGTATACTAACTGAAGGAATAATTCGAGACATATAAAACATTTCTACGATTTATACTAACTGTGTTTGAGCGCAAAGTCGTTCAAAATCATCAATTCTGGTTGGTACGTTTTGAGAACTGTTTTTTATAAAGATTATTAAAAACTACTCGATATTTAGTTTAGATGCTCTTTAGGCTGGATTCATCTGGAGCAGTTTCCATACCATCCTTCACTTCACTTTAAATCTTAATAAATGACACAAAACTTTAAGTTATACTTCATTTACATTTATGTTGAATAGCATGTCCTTCACAACAATAAACTTAAACATTTAAATTGGTTTAATTAATATGAAAAGTGTCGAATTCTGACATTGAATTTACTTTTGATTCCCTGTGCAATGTGCAATAACGTTAAACCAAGGTTGTATAATACGGTTGGTTACTATCAATGCGCTCCAGTGTACGGAAAATGTCGTCTCCTAAGATAGGTATAAACATCATATGACGTCACTTTTGTCTCTATAATCAGTGACGTTATAAATCCAAATGGTTCATCAAGTACAATAGATGGCAACGTAGAATTTGCACACTCAGTATACAGCTGTATTCTTACGTCATAAGTGTCAACAGTTTTATGTGTCCGATAAAACTATTAATAATAGTGATAATAAAGTGCTTATTTTACAGTGGAATGAGTTTAATTTTGTATTCTTATTTTCTCTTTTTACACTTATTTATTTAAAGAAAACATGTTAACTAATGGTAGAAAATGTTGTCTTTCTTATTCAACACTTGTGACGTCATGCATAATTGGTTTATTTCTCTTTTGACACCTATTATACTTGATAATCTATGATAGTAACCAACCGTATTATACAACCTTGGTTTAACGTTACTGCACAGGGGATAAAATATAAAAATATGTTTAATTACCAAATAACAAAAATACATGTTTAATTGAATAATATCTTAAGTAACAAAACTAAAGTAAGTTATATTTAAAATCAGTAATACCAAAATACATTGTTTAATACATTAATTACTATAGTTGACAATTTGTCGGGTATTAATATTAATAATATCTTCATCGTAATTTCTTAGATCTTGATGAGCATTTAACATTAAGGGGGAAAGATGTTTCACAAATCTGAGAGGAATCAATTGTAAGTAGTAAATACTAATGTAGTTTTAACATTTACAAAAGGCATTTTTCGCTAAAATCAAAATTTACCATAGCAAATGCCCTTTTGTGATAAAAAGCTAATAAGTGTTTTTTTCTTCTCAAAATATGTCGATGTGGGCATCAAAACATCCGTATTTTAAAGCCATATTCAACAGAAAAAACCGTTTTACAAAAAAAAATGAAAAATAGCCTAGTTCTTGTAATTTTCCAAATGTTTTCCACTTTAATATATCACATGTTTTTGAATATTTTTACAAACCGTTTGCTGCGTTGAATTAGGCTTTGCGAGACGGATCTTTTGATACCCATATCAACATATTTTGGAAAAATTAAAAAATCACGTATATAACCGGTATTAATTTTCAGCCACAAATAACCATTTGCGATGGTCAGTTTTGGTCTCATCGAAAAATGCGTTAGTAAATGCTGCTTAAAATAAAAAACACAGTAGTATTTAATTCTTGTTTTGTGTTTTATGAACAATTTTTACTCTTATTTCGCATGCTATAATTAAAAAATAAAATATTTTTAATATTTCCGCACAATGTAGTGCGTAGGTCCAATATATATATTATTTAAGTTGCCTTTAATCATTGTTAATTAAGAACTTGCGAACGTTACATTAATACAACATTTGTGAACAAATTAGGAAAGTCATCTTAGATATTTTGAACAAATTACAACAAATTACAAGTCCAAATTATATTTAATGAACAAGTTAGTAAAACCTTTCAACATATTGTTAGTCAATTAAAACATCTTGTGAGCTGAACTAGCTTACAGGGTGGTTGGGAAAGTGTGTGTGTGGAGGGGAAGGGGTTATACTGGATGAATGTGCCAGCTAACCCCAACCATTCTTGAAAGTCTTTAAGGAACTGATTTTTAAGCTCCAACTTTAATCTTCTAATTCTTAAATCTTTAAAATTTGACGCTGTGGACGTATTTCTAACTAGGAAATATGCTAGATCCAGTAGTTAAAATATCCAAGGAGTAAACCACCAGAATACAGATACAGAGAGTAAAAAATTAGATTGTAGTGAGTAATCAGTCCCCTTGTTATTTACAAAATTTTAAACAAGATTTACATCGTACATCGTACTTGTCCGTCAAGGTTTATAATTAAAAAAGATATTCTGCAGGTGCCCCATGTCAATTGTCTAATGTCCATATTATTCATGTGCATCACAATTGCAGTCGGTGAAATCAAGGAGAGCCAGCTGGGCCTAAAAATAATCAATTAATTAAATGTTCTAAAACTTATTTTTGATTTATAAAAGTTTCTTCGCAACCTCAGATCAAGGTCAATTAGAAGGTTTTACTCTAGAATTTATGAAAATTTAATCAAAATAATTTTTTTTAATTCAGGAAAAAAACGCACTTAACGATGCAGATCTGAGAACATATGAATAAGCTAAAAATATTTTTAATATTATTATAAATGAGTTCCAAATTCTGAATCGAATTTTAGTTGCGACTTTTTTTCTTTTCTTTCAAAGACTATGAAAATAATAAAAGGATTAAATAATAAATTTAAACATTTTTTACCTTTCGTGGAAATAGTTTGGATAAAGCTGTTAGAGGGCAGAGAATGGAAGGTATAAATGCATATTCATAATCTCGTCTATTTACATTCAAATAAATATCTTATTTAAAAAATGTAGAACTAAAAGTAAAACATCTTAAACCCCATGTTTAGGAAAACTTGCGAGGATAAAAATGAGTATAGGACAAAACCCGTTCTGAGATAGCAGCGCAAAACATTTTAACGGAAAATTGAAATTATCAATGAAAGGAGGGTAATTTTTGAACAATCAATAACCCTGAATGTTCAAAAACATGTTCAGTTCAGTATCAACATGTTTGTTAGAGTTTGACCTTTGTGACGTAAGAATACAGCTGTACATGAGAGTGTACCAATTCTACGTTGCCAATGCCATCTATTGAACTTGATGATCCATTTGGATATATGACGTCACTGATTATAGAGACGACAGTGATGTTTTTACCATTCTATCTTAGGAGACAGCATTTCCGTACATTGGAGCGCATTGATAGTAACCAACCGTATTATACAACCTTGGTTTAACGCTACTGCACAGGGAATCAAAAATAAATTCAGTGTTAGAATTCGACACTTTTCATAATAATTAAACCAATTTAAATGTTTAAGCTTACCGTTGTGAAGGACATGCTATTCAACATAAATGTAAATGAAGTTTTGTGTAATTTAATACCCGACAAGAGCTAAAGATTTAAAGTGAAGTGTAGGATGGTATGGAATCTGATCCAGAGGAATAAAGCCTAAAGAGCATCTGAACTAAGCATTGAATAGTTTTTCAAGGGCGTATACAGGGGGGGGGCATGGGGGCAGTGCCCCCCCTAGCCTTGTAAAGGGGGGGGCGTAGCCCCCCCCCTAGAATTCTGCAAGCCTTTCACACTTTTCAAATCTTAACTGAAGAGTGAAGAACACAAAAAAAATAAGTTTGCTTTTCATGATTATTATAAAAAATCAAAATTTTAAAATATATATAATTACAGTGCAGTGCTCATGCTGTAACCAAGTTAACCTAACCAACCTAACCTAATTTTAACTTTTAAGTTCACAGAGTACACAGAGTTTAGTTGGGTTCAGAGAACACACAGTCTGCATACATTTGTACAGCTCACACACTTTACATTATATGCTAGTCTTTTTCACAACAGAAACTTTTACAAGTCATAATTATTTTCTGGACCTTTGTACTTCTTTTCATCTCATAGAATTTAAGTTTAAGTTAAGTTTTTATTTTCAAAAATGTCTTTTACTATCTCTAGTTTAAATACTAAATATACCTATAAAAGTATAATAAAATGTCGATTTTTTAAAAACAATGTTTTTTTCTGCTAGTTTTGTTTGAAGGAGAGATAAAGTAGTGCTTAGAAGGTAATTATTTGGACTGTATGTGTGCCTTTTAAGTATCTTATACTTATGCCTGATATCCAAGAAGCCAAGTGTTATGACTTTACAGTTCGAATTTTGCCCCCCCCCTAGGAGCTAATAGGGGGGCAAAAAAAAAATTTGCGCTTCGCGCAAATCTTGCCCCCCCCTAGATTTATTTCTGTATACGCCCTTGTAGTTTTTAATAACCTTAAAAAACGATTCTCAAAACGTACCAACCCAAATTGATGATTTTGAAGAACTTTGCGTTTAAACACATCAAGACACCCTATTCACCAAGGAATTGAATATTCTTTTGAAAACATTCTTTGTGTGGTTCTATAATACAAGGAGATATGAGGCAGCCAACAGTTAAGCAATCTTACATGGTTTAAATGTTTTTATAAAGCAAACAGTCTTAGTACTAGCTTGAAATTAAGTGAAATGGTTCTGTATACACTGCACAATTACTGTTTTTTTATTAGCTTACGTTCATAGGACTACTTAAAACCGTAAATCGAGCCCTACAGTCGTCTTCTTTTTCCTCAGTTTAATGGGTCTGTACTGTATGCCATATGGATCTACATGACAAAGGGTGTGTTCACTGTTCAGGTTCCCTGCCCATAAACTATAGGGTATCCAACGAAACACGAGAGACAGTAGCAAGACGAATTAAATGTTATATTTGAACTTTAAAAAAACTTGAAGCATTTATTCGTGAACTTAATTTTCGAAATAAAATTTTAGAGAATTAGTTCACAAAATATTTCTAGTTTTGGCATTTCCTAATTGTGGTCTGCCTTTTATGTGCTTTTAATATTATCAGAGAAATGAGAAATTTTAGATTTGAGTTTTGGTTTTATTTAATAAAACTAGTTAGAAATAGATCATTATTTGAATAGTTTCCTAGTAGCGGAGATAACTTGAGCAGCCGCGGAGTCAGGGGCAGTTATCGGTATTATACTCTCAAACCGAGACCTGCAATCAAACATTATTTATATTATTATATAATTCATTTATATATCGGTATTATACTCTCAAACCGAGACCTGCAATCAAACATCATTTATATTATTATATGATTCATTTATATATCGGTATTATACTCTCAAACCGAGACCTGCAATCAAACATTTATATTTTTATATAATTCATTTAAATATCGGTATTATACTCTCAAACCGAGACCTGCAATCAAACATCATTTATTCATTTATATATCGGTATTATACTCTCAAACCGAGACCTGCAATCAAACATCATTTATATTATTATATAATTCATTTATATATCGGTATTAAGCTCTCAAACCGAGTTCTTTTATGAAACATTATTTATATGATTCATTTATATATCGGTATTATACTCTCAAACCGAGTTCTTTTATGAAACATTATTTATATGATTCATTTAAATATCGGTTTTATACTCTCAAACCGAGATCTTTTATCAAACGTCTTCCTAATAATTAATTAAAAAATAAAGATGTGCTCATAAAATAACCGAACTGATTAGAGAGATGAGTGTACAGAATAATGAACACATTAAATACATAGTATTGACAATCAATGGCAATCAATGGGATTGACATAGTATTATTGTCAATCCCATTGATTAAAGGGACTGGACGCGTTACTTCAAGTCACCCTTCATTCCCGATTCACAATGGTACCCTTCAAATCTTTACCTGAGCAGAAATGGGGAAAATATCTTTGATTTAATATCTTGAGGAATTCTCGGCTTTTAAATCCACAAATTAGAACCACAAATTAAAGATGATCGTTTTTAGCAGCGTTTCGGATCCGGATCCGTATCATTTGGTCGGATCCGGATCCGTATCAGACTTTAATTTATTCTACAGTCCCTTTAATTTATTCTACAGTCACTTTAATTCATTCTACACTTCCTTTAATTTATTCTACAGTCCCTTTAATTGATTCTACAGCCCCTTTAATTCATTCTTCATTCCCTTGTATTAATTCTACAGTCCCTATTATTGATTCTACAGTCCCTTTTATTGATTCTACAGTTCCTTTAATTTATTCTACAGTCCCCTGTATTAATTCTACAGTCCCTTTAATTAATTCTACACTCCCCTTAATTTATTCTACAGTCCCTTTAATTTATTCTACAGTCCCTTTAATTAATTCTACAGTCCCTTTAATTTATTCTACAGTCCCTTGTATTAATTCTACAGTCCCTTTAATTAATTCTACACTCCCTTTTATTTATTCTACAGTCCCTTTATTTTATTCTACAGTCCCTTTAATTAATTCTACAGTCCCTTTAAGTTATTCTACATTCCCTTTAATTTATTCTACAGTTCCTTTAATTTATTCTACAGTCCCTTTAATTTATTCTACAGTCCCTTTAATTCATTCTACAGTCCCTTTAATTCATTCTACACTCCCTTTAATTTATTGTACAGTCCCTTTAATTAATTCTACAGTCCCTTTAATTCATTCTTCAGTCCCTTGTATTAATTAAACAGTCCCTTTACTTTAATTAATTCTAGTTTCTTTAATTCATTCTACAGTCCCTTTAATTTATTCTACAGTTTCTTTAGTTCATTCTACAGTCCCTTTATTTCATTCTTCATTCCCTTTAATTTATTCTTCAGTCCCTTTAATTCATTCTACAGTCCCTTTAATTAATTCTACAGTCCCTTTAATTCATTCTAGAGTCCCTTTAATTTATTCTACAGTCCCTTTAATTAATTCTACAGTCCCTTTAATTCATTCTACAGTCCCTTTAATTTATTCTGCAGTCCCTTTCATTAATTCTACAGTCCCTTTATTTCATTCATCAGTCCCTTGTATTAATTCTACAGTCCCTTTAATTTATTCTTCAGTCCCTTTAATTCATTCTACAGTTCTTTTAATTCATTCTACAGTCCCTTTAATTTATTCTACAGTTTCTTTAATTGATTCTACAGTTCTTTTAATTCATTCTACAGTCCCTTTAATTTATTCTACAGTTTCTTTAATTGATTCTACAGTTCTTTTAATTCATTCTACAGTCCCTTTAATTTATTCTACAGTTTCTTTAATTGATTCTACAGTTCTTTTAATTCATTCTACAGTCCCTTTAATCTATTCTACAGTTTCTTTAATTCATTCTACAGTCCCTTTAATTTATTCTACATTCCCTTTAATTCATTCTACACTCCATTAAATTATTCTACAGTCCCTAAAATTATTCTACAGTCTCTTTAAGTTTACCTTGGTTTCTGTGCGAGACCAGTGTCAACTACAAAAGGATGAATTGTTGTTAGTTTCACGTTGGTGTCAGGATGTGTAGATCTGAAGTAATTAAAAATGTACACAAAATTTCGGAATTAAAATTTAAACCAAGATATAATGTTTTGATTATAAATGATGACAAATAAAATAATATATTATGAATGAACCTGAGTTCTAAAAAGAGAGCGTCCATAAGTCCCTTGACGGCAAACTTGCTTGAACAGTACGGTACAAGGTTGGGTGTACCTGTAATCCCAGCCATGGAGGACATGGAGATTATGTGGCCTCGGTTCAAACTAGTAAATATATTTTAAAATTCATTGCTGGATAAAATCTAATGTACGTGTACATGAATCAGGGGTTTACATTTTCTTGAGAAATCATTCCCATTTTTTGACGATAAATTTTTCAAAGAAGTTATGAATTATTGCGCGGAGTAACTTTTTTTTTTTTGGAGGGGGGGGGTTTATTTGCTGATTTAGGAAAATTAATAAATTTTGGGTAACAACTATGAAATTTGAAAAAGATGCCTTTTAATGTCAAATTTTTTCATTTTCTCATATTCCCATCAGATCTTCAAAAATACACACAACTAACATTATTACTGCATACCCCCCCCCCCTTATTCGCTTTCTTTTCTTTCCTTTATACTCCCCCCTCACCCACCTTATCATCCTGGGCAGGAACTCCATGAGCGTCCAGTATTGAGAGAAAACATTCACCTCGAATATTTTCTGGATTTCTGCTCCACTGTTACAACAATATATATATGTTTAAGTGAGTAAACATGGAATACATTTGTTTTCATAAAAACGAAGCTATTTAAACAAGAATGAAAAGGGGCTTTGTTACTTTTTTGATACCTTTCCTTAGTTAAATTTAGCGGTTAAAAACATTATTACTATTACATATCGTATAAAGTTACTTCCGTTAGGCGTAGGATAAAAAAAAATAATCTTTTAACTCGATGTTGATTAAATAGTGATATTACCTATGGTTTAAGAAAGGTTTGCAGGGCATGATTCCGGCGTTGTTAAAGAGTAAAGTAACTTCTCCCAGTTCAGATCTTGTTTTATCAACGGCACGACGAATACTCTCCCTTAATGTAAATATCAAAAAATTTAAACAGAAAATCTTAAAACAAAAATTCTCCCGAAAGTTTAAATTTACTCACCGAATATTTACACCTCTAGCTAAGAGGTAGTGTTAGGCTATTAGCATATTAAATACAAAATAATACGTTTTACTAGTTTTGCTTATGTCCGCTGATCCTATAGAGAGGATAATGCAATATTTATTGTCGAGGGAGGCTTCAATTTTGTTTTCTGTCTTTCTGTCCAAGCGGGCAGGGGGGGATACGTTGGGGCCTGAATAATAATAATAATAATAATAATAATAATAATAATAATAATAATAATAATAATAATAATAATAACAAGATCAGAACGGGAACCCGACATGGAACCCCAGAGGGGGAGGGGTCTCAGCAACCGTTGGAACCCGAACCCCCCGGAAATCTATAGATTTCACTGGTCCAGGCTAAGGGGGAGGGGGGTTAAGCCCCCATGCCCCCCCCCCCTTCTGAATACGCCTCTGTTCCCAATTATTATTATTATTACTACCAGACAACCCTGCATTCGGGGAAATAGGGGTCGGCGCTCCTAGCCGCCAAAACGTGTCCATGGGAACCGATGTCCGCGGTTCCAATAAGAATCAAATTCAAATTACCTATCAGAAACATCTACAGTCAGTGGAAGCCCCAAACCTCCTTTCTTTTCTATTTCTCTGGGAAAATAATTAAAAATTATTTCTGCAAAAATCTAAATAATTTAAAATATTTAACAATCTATCTATATAATAAAACAAGACATTCATACACATGTTGTTTTTAGCCGGCCGAAAGGCTAGACCGAATGGGCTGAAATTTTTTGGACACTCTTAGGTGGCCGGGGGGTGTTATAAGGTAAAAAAAATCGAAAAAAAACATTTATTTTTCAATTTTTTTTCCAAAGCAATGCCGGGCCTTTCAGCTAGTATTATATATATCTTCTCTTTATCTCTGTGAAAATGATTAAAAAGAATGTCTGCAGAAATATAATTTACGTAAATAATTTACAATTTTGTATTAAATATTTATGGTTTATACTTACTTAACTGCTAAATTTGCAGTTTGTCCATTTATATCCCAAACTGCCACTTTTACACCAAGATCTGATAATTGTCTGAAAAAAGATATTCCAAGATATCTCGAATTTTTTTTTTAAATTATAAATTTTTCTAGATTTTCTTTTTGGTTAATGTTTAAGAGACCCTCCATTGATAGAGTGGCATATCCTATTCACGACAGTATAATCTTGAAAGCTTTGTCTGATCAAGATTGAATTAGATATTCAAGTTGTTTTTGTTCATTTTAATGTTTAGTTTCACTGAAAAGTGATTTTCCAATGTTTAGTTTCACTGAAAAGTGATTTTCCAATGTTTAGTTTCACTGAAAAGTGATTTTCCAATGTTTAGTTTTACTGAAAAGTGATTTTCCAATGTTTAGTTTCACTGAAAAGTGATTTTCCAATGTTTAGTTTCACTGAAAAGTGATTTTCCAATGTTTAGTTTCACTAAAAAGTGATTTTCCAATGTTTAGTTTCACTCAAAAGTGTATTTCCAATGTTTATTTTCACTGAAAAGTGATTTTCCCATTTCATGCTTAAGAATAAATACAATAACTTTTTTTCTGATAAAATCAAAGTTTCATGGATGCCGTTGTGATTAAAGTGCTTAGGATCCATTCAATTTTGATGCGGATCCTGATCCTGGATCCGCACTGGAAAAAAATGAATCCAGGTCATTTCTTTAAGATTTACTGAATTTTCTTTAACAAAAAATATTTTTAAAATTTTTTGTTATATTTTTTTCGCATATTTTTATCCTAAAACTCGATGAACCATTCAGAAATGAGGAAATTTTTATAATCTTTTTTTTTCAGAAATAATTTTGGTTTTAGCAGTAAAATTTTTTTTTGCAGTTTTTGGTTGATATTTTACCCCTTAAATCCGGATCCGGATCCTAAGCACTGGTTGTGAATCAGTCATGCCTCTCTTGAAATGGAGGGTCTCTTACAGTTATAACGACCAGGTCCTTTAAGAAGGCTGGGAAGGAAGTATACAATTTTACCAAAACTAATCCTTGGTTTAATTCTATTGTCATAAGATAATTAGGTAATTAGCTACCTAACTAGCTCCAGTCCGATACCATGTCCGCCTCCGGTCACAACAGCAACCTCGCCTTGTAGCTCCTTCTCCTTTAACCAGCCATAATTTATCAATTATCAGGGGTGTGTACTTTTCAGAAAATGATTTTTTTAGATAGTATACACCCCTGTTTATTATACTTAGGAAGGGGTCACAGGGAATTTAGGAGGGGGCAAGAAGAGAGGAAATGAAGAAGGAATAGTGATCGAGAAAGCAATGATGATTGGAGCCGTAGAAAGGAATAATTAATTGAGCTGGGAAAGGAAGTACGATTTTTGACAAAGAGCGAGATATTGGCGTTGTAGTGGAAAATTCCTTAAAACCTTCTCTACAGTGTGCAGAGGCAGCTCGGAGAGCTAATGGAGTTCTTACCCAAGTAACTAAGGCATTCTTGTATCGTGGAGTGACATTTCTTAGACTTTACACACAATTTGTGAGGTGTCACCTTGAGTTTGCGGTTACTGCCTGGTCCCCATGGACAGCTGGAGATAGGGACACCCTGGAGACAGTTCAGATCAAAGCAATTAATCTAATAACACGACTCAAGGGTAAAACATACATGGAGAAACTACAGGAACTTGGTATCCAGTCACTGGAACAAAGGAGATTTAGATTTGATCTTATTCAAACATATCAAATACTCAGAGGATACGATAAAGTAAAGAAGGGGACTTGGTCTACTTTGGTCGGCTCAGATGTTACAAGACAAACAAGAAATACATCTTACAAGGATAACTTGGTACCAAAGCACTCTAGGACAGATCTTCGACGCAACTTCTACTCAAACCGGGTAGTAAACCTATGGAACAATTTACCTACTGAAATGAAGGATGCAAAATCTCTAAATATCTTTAAATCTCTACTTGACGCCCATCTTTAACACCTTGAATTACAATGCCAGGATTAGTGTGCAAGAGGTTACACAAGGAGGACGTAAATCTAGAGGACTTGATCACTTCTCCGAGAGGACCTAACTGAAATCACCGCTATACTCCTACCTGGAGTCCTGGGGATAACTCATCAAGTATTCCAAGTAAGTAAATGAAGAATTAATTGAGCTGGGAAAGGAAGGACGATTGGAGCCAGAGAAAAGAAGAATAAATTAAGCTGGGAAAGGAAGGACGATCGGAGCCGGAGAAAAGAAGAATAAATTAAGCTCGGAAAGGAAGGACGATCGGAGCCGGAGAAAGGAAGAATTAAAAGAGCTGGGAAATGAATGACGATTGGAGCCGGAGAAAAGAAGAATAAATTAAGCTGGGAAAGGAAGGACGATAGGAGCCGGAGAAAGGAAGAATTTAAAGAGTTAGGAAAGGAAGGACTATTGGAGCCGGAGAAAGGAAGAATTAATTGAGCTGGGAAAGGAAGGACGATTGGAGCCAGAGAAAAGAAGAATAAATTAAGCTCGGAAAGGAAGGACGATTGGAGCCAGAGAAAAGAAGAATAAATTAAGCTGGGAAAGGAAGGACGATAGGAGCCGGAGAAAGGAAGAATTTAAAGAGTTAGGAAAAAAAGGACGATAGGAGCCGGAGAAAGGAAGAATTAATTGAGCTGGGAAAGGAAGGACGATTGGAGCCAGAGAAAAGAAGAATTAAAAGAGCTCGGAAAGGAAGGACGATTAGAGGAGCCTGAGAAAGGAAGAATTAATTGAGCTGGGAAAGGAAGGACGATTGGAGCCAGAGAAAAGAAGAATTAAAAGAGCTCGGAAAGGAAGGACGATTAGAGCCTGAGAAAGGAAGAATTAATTGAGCTGGGAAAGGAAGGACGATCGGAGCCGGAGAAAAGAAGAATTAATTTAGCTGGGAAAGGAAGGACGATTGGAGCCGGAGAAAGGAAGAATTAAAAGAGACGGAGAAAAAAGGATGAATGGGGGTGGGAAAGTAATAACAAACAGGGGGAAATATTTAAAAGATAAAAAATAAAAAGAAAGATATAATTCCAAATCAAAGATTTACACTTGTACTGGCGTAAAAAAGGGATTTAAACCTACACATAGAAAGCCTTTGTTTGGCGTTGATAAATAGTTGTATTTTCCTTTCGTGGTATGATGGACTCATATGCTGCCTCCAATATGAAGTAAATAATCTAAAATTAAACAACCTTTGACGAACTTTTTCAATAATAGGGTTATCTTAGTGCTGAAAACATTAATAATTTAACTCAAAGTCATAGAAACTATAAAAAAATCAATAATTGGAAACTTCGTAACAATGCAAATAAATAAAATGTTCTAGAATGTTCAAAAGGACGAAGTTTTTACGTAAGTATTTCATTTTTTTGCACATAAATTTTAAAATTAGACCTGGAGGCCTAAGAGAACCATGTCGAAGAGTGTAAGCAGAGCATTGTACACAGATACAGGAAGAACCATTTTGGATATCAGATTTTGTAGTCAAAAATGTCTGAATCAAAACGTTAATGCAATTCTTTGATTTATTTTGATTTAGACACACAAAACTAAAATTTTTTCTCCACCACAATACTGCATTGTTTTCTGAAAAATATTTTTTAATTAATGTATAATTGAGAACATTTTATTGCAAATATTTGATGCTACATGTCCAAAATTGAACAAGCATAAAGTTTAACTAATAAACCCACATTCCTACAAGGTATGGTTTCAACTTTTATCTTGTTGGGCTAATAAAAAAATTTGTTTTAATGTAATATATCAGGGAACCAATTTGAAAAAATGTTCATTCATTTATAAAACTTTTTGTACTTGTGGTTTCCTTTATTCAGTAGATTGCCTGGATTTTTATTGAAAAGATGACATTTCAAGAATTAGAATAAATCTGCAAACAAATCAAATCATTGATATGAATGATAATAAAGAAATGATTGATTCTACCATGGAGTTCTTCACAAAGTTCTATTGAAAAATATTGTCCTAATTAGACAAATGGAGAATTCTTGTTACATGTTTGTCTGGGTTATTTAATAATGTAAAAAAATATTTTTTTAACGGACCATCACCGTAAAAACGTAAAAACATATTTCTGTGTTAAAAAAATTTGCTGATGATACAAAACTTGCCCAAAAAATGTTAAACGAAAGTGACAAAAATATATTACAAAACTGTCTTAATAAACTTTGTGATTGGGCTGAAACTTGGGGTATGATGTTCAATGTTGATAAATGCAAAGTTATGCACATTGGAAATAGAAACCCCTGCTATACATACACCATGAACAATCAAACCCTGTCAGAGATCGACGAGGAAAAAGATATCGGAGTTACTATGCATGCAAACTTGAAACCTTCAGTGCACTGCAACCAATCAGCTCAAAAAGCAAATGGTATATTGTCACTTATTTCTAAAGCATTTCATTATAGAGACAAAGTTACATTCATCAATCTCTATAAGCTTTATGTGAGACCTCACCTAGAGTTCTCCGTCCCAGCTTGGTGTCCTTGGAGTGTAGGAGATAAAGAAACTATTGAAAAAGTGCAAAAAAGGGCGGTTTCAATGGTTTCAGGACTCACTGGCTCATCGTACAGTGAAAAACTAATAGAGCACAATTTACAATCCCTTGAAAATCGAAGACTCCGCTATGATTTAATTGAAACCTGTAAAATTATTCATGGTGTTAATAATGTTAATAAATGTACTTGGTTTTCAATGTTAGCAGATACATCCTATAGGATTACAAGAATGTCAGAAAATCCTCTTGCAAAATTTTGTAAAACCGATATTCGTAAACATTTTTTTAGCCAAAGAGTTGTTTCCCCATGGAATGATTTACCCTGTGATATAAAAACTGCACCAACGTTAAATACTTTTAAATCCAGATATGATGAATATGTAAAAAATTTCTAGGGACAAAAGGAGCCGAAAAAAGATTACTTCAAAAGAAAACTGAAAGGCCAAATAAGAAAAAAAATATTCTATGAAAATTTTTTTTAAAAATTAAAACGTCAAAAATTAAAAATAAAAATGTCAAGGAAGAGAAAAAATAAAAACTCTACCAAAAGAAAAAAAATAAATGTCCATTATTTTTAATCTTGATTCACTGGATATTCGAAATTATTGAATATAATTTACTCTGTATATTAATGTGATATATGCAACCATACGAATATCATGACAACAATCGGAAATTTTCTTATATACTCCGCCAGGAGTCCTGAAAATAATCCTAACATAAACATAAACATAAATTGTATCAAATAAATTCTAAACAAAATCTTAATAATACTGCACTCTCACCTCAACTACCATACCTAGCCAACCTCTCCATGCCAAAGTTTATCGGGACTTGATCTATTTATTTACTATGCTTGTCTGTTTGTTTGTTCGCGTGACCCCAGGGAAGGTTTATGGATGAGCGAATTTTCAAAAGTTTACCTTTAACAAAATTCGATTTTCATCAAAAATTTAAAATTTTGAAAATCCACGAATTTTCTTATGAAATTCTCAAATTTTTTATTTGTTTTGGTTTTAAATGTACACAAAAAACATGTTTACAATTAAAATAGTAGATGACATAATACAATTTATAGATATTTTTAATTTTGTGAAAAAATAGTGGTCATGTACAAACTTCATGGATGGGGGTCCGTCCTGGCCGCAGCGCCCGGCCCAGGCCTAACTTGACCTAACCAAAGCACTCGGTCTAGAAATTGTCTTAACCTATAAACCATAACCCTTAAATAATAAAAAATAAATAATAATAATAATTTTGCTAAAAAATAAGTGGTCATGTACAAAATTAATATGAGGGGGGGGGAAGGGGGGGGCCGAGGACCAAAAATCGTATACTAGGACGGACCCCATATTTTGTTTCTTGGCCCTATTGAATGCTGATTTTGGATTTATCTGTTAGACAAATCTCTAACTTTGAATATGAATAGAACTTAATTGATTCTAGGCTATATATGGTTCTATTTACAAACCATATTTTTAAAGACTAGGACAGGCTAGGGGGCCGAGCGCTTATGTCACATGTCCAACTTTGACGGATATAGTCCTAGTATACGATATTATTATTTAATTTTTTATCATTTTAGGGTTAGATTAGGTTAAGACAATTTCTAGGCTGAGCGCTGTGGCTATGACAGGCTAGGGGGCCGAGCGCTGCGACTAGGACAGGCTAGATGGCCGTGCGACGCGGCTAGGACAGGCTAGGGGGCCGGGTGCTACGGCCACATGACCAACTACATCCATGTCTTACATATGAGATCCATGTACAAAGTGAGGGGGGGAGGGTCCAAACATCGTATATTAGGAAATTACCACTAGATGACCATGTACAAAATTGATTGGAAGTGTTCTACAGTAAACTACCCAGAATCGAATTCCAGCTGATTTTCCAGTCACCTCTTCCTCCATTTTACAATTTCATCGACACAATTTTGAAATTAGTTTTGAACTCGACCTTACAAATTTATTGGTTCTGAACTGAACTGTGTAGCTAGTAGTACTTGGGTAATTTCCTAAAGAACGATTTTTGAGACCCCCCCCCCCCTCCTATCAATTTAAGGTACATGGTTATCGTTGATCATGTGGCCGCAGCGCGCCGGCCCTAGAACCTGTCCTAGTCGCGGCGCTCGGACCCTAAGCCTGTCTTAGTCGCAGCGCTCGGCCCCTTAGTCTGACCTAGCCGCAGCGCTCGCCCCCCTAGCCTGTCCTACCCGCGACGCTTGGCCAAGAAATAGTCTAAACCTAACCTAACCCTAAAATAATACAAAAATTAATAATTTAGCTGAAATCATGTACAAAATTGATAGGTACAGGATAGGTATAGGACCCAGAAAGTGTCTTTACTTAACCTAATCCGTGGTCGCAGCACTCGGCCCCCTAGCCTCTCCTAGCCGCAGCGCTTGGCCCAGAAAGTGTCTTAACTAACCTAACCCGTGGCCGAAGCGCTCGGCCCCCTAACCTGTCCTAGCCGCAGCG